AGACTTTGTCTCTTACATTCTTTGTTTATTTTGCTAGCTGCACTAAATGACAAAACTGTGGAATCACTAGAGTCCATCTGAGAGAAAAAAAAATGTATTAGTAAATATTCTACATTTAAAATTCGGAAGAAAAATCGAATTATATAAAGTTTTCACACATTTTTTGTTGCAAAGGAGCTTAAAATATGACAAGTAAACACAGAATTTGCTTATTAAGTTTATAAACATATAAAATTAAGCTTAGCTATTATAGAATTGTGTGCTGTTCTAACCATATGTCCCACAGTGGCACAGCGGTATATCAGCGGACTTATAACGCTGGAATCCGTGTTTCGATACCCGTGGTGGGCAGAGCCCAGATAGCCCATTGTGTAGCTTTGTGCTTAATTACAAACAAACATCTAACCATATTGTATTCACGGGATATCTCACATCATCACTATATTTTATTAAACTTTTTGTCTGTCCCTTAATTAATTTTGTAGTATTTATCAATAGTTTGGGACAAACCAATTTATTTGAGAATTTTACAGAAACAACCTAACCATTTCACAGAAATCTCGCACAGGTAAACTATCACGTGTAAACGTTTAGCTAAATGACTACAATTCACTTCATTACACATAAAGGTGGAACAAAAAACTATTCTAAATAACTTGTGATTACAAGAAACTTTACTTATACTTTTATAAAAAAGCTATCTGGACTTCCGCACTGTACTTCTACTACTGAACCACTATGAATCATTAGGCCTCTTTGCAATGCTACTAGTTGGTTGTTTGGGCTTCAGACCTATCAACTGCCAGGGTCAAGGCCGTCAACGTGTTAAGACTCTTTACCATCACTGAGGATGTGCGCGGCTGGAATAATAAGTGTGCAGCATTTGATTGTTTGTTGTGCGGAAACACTATTAGTTATTGTGTAGTGAGGGTGACCATCAGTCACGCGGGTAACGCATATGTCTATAGACGAATTACATTGTTGTTTAACGTATATAATGCATGTTCACTCAGTCTGGTATATGATCATTCTGATGATTTATGTTCAAACACTTCTTCTCTGAAAGCTCTCTATTACAGGACAACAAAATACACTTGCTTTTAACCTTTGATTGCTGTTTGTTTGAAATAAAGATTGTTTCACTGTGTTTAGTTTGTGTCCCGTATTTATTGTTTTAAAAATTGAATGGAAAACAGTTTTTATGTTTTGACAGTGTAAATTATCAAATCTTTTGTCATCTGGTGGGGCAGCGGTAGATTTATGGACTTACAAAGCTAAAATCCAGGATTCGATTCCCCACAGTGAGCACAGTAGATAACCCAACGTGGCTTTGCTCTAAAACAAACAACAATAACGTTAAATCTCTATTACTTAGCGAACTCTACTTTCAGAAAGGCAACACATAAGTTAGATTTTTATGGAAAATGTCCTCGTCTTTTGCCCACCAGTGGCGCAGCGGTATGTTTGCGGACTTACCACGCTAGAAACCGGTTTTTGATACTTATGGTGGACAGCGCACAGATAACCCATTGTGTAGCTTTGTACTTAATTTGAAACAAACAAATCCTCCATTTTCACTCTATTACAAGCATCACACTAAGCTAAACATTCAACAATATGGATAAAATAAAATAAAGAATAAATTAACATGTTTAAATAAAACTTTATTTTATCTATGGGGTTTTTGAGTCCGTTTTACTTCACCATATAGTAATCTAAATTAATTTAGGTATGTGAATAATGTTATGACTTTTCGTCGAATTCAGTATTATACAACGGACCAACTGTTTAATGATCGTATAGTTATGTTAAATATTTCTTTTCTTTTTCACCAGAGATTAAATTGAAAAGAGAATTTATGACGCTAAAGTCTAATACATTCTTTGATTGGCCGTACCCTCTGCTATGAAAAAGAAAATAAATCTTGAACTTTATTTTGTTTTTACACATTTTATATTTACGTAATGCAGGATGTAGCATGGTACATATAATTAGAAATGAATAAAACGACAGTGAATTCCAGAGAATCTTACAAGTTGTTTTATTTGCTAAATGTTTAGGCTCCACATGAACCTTCATTAGAAGCATACAATTTCTGTAATGATAAATTTCATTACAGAAAGTGTATGCTCCTGATAAAGGCGTAAAGACGAAACGTTAAGCAAATAAAACAAACTGTAAGGTTCTCTGAAGTTCATTTTATTTATTTGTATTTATTTTGTGCGACATTTCGGACAGTTTGTTTTGAATTTCGCGCAAAGCTACACGAGGGCTATC